GGACCTTCTTGCTGAGAGGCGAGAGTGCTATCCACTCAGCCACCGTGCCGCCCATTGCATTGATGCATTGATTTACATAGACCTCTACATCTATATGCACCAACACAAATACACAAATATTTACATCTACATCCATACATATACACAAATACACACACACAGACATCTACATACAGTATAGTTGTTTAAGTTCTCGCCCTGTCTGGAGATGAGAATCTTGATTCAGTGCATATAGTATTCAGAATGTCTACATAATCCTCTCCTATGGCACTTTTTTCTCTTGCAGGGTAGTTCTGTGCTAATGCTATAGGGGCTGTGTACATTTACATAGTGCAAGCTTACTTTCAATAAATATATTCATCATCCAACTATTAGTCCTTTAAGCAAGTCTTGCTTAAAAATGCTCTTGTTTCGAGGAGGGGTCCAATATCCCGTTCTACACATTTAAACCTATATAGATATTTAATGTGATGTCTGTGAATAACCATCACCAGGGAGGATTTCCTGGAGGAGAATAGTTAGACCAGAGGTAAGTAGCCTCAGCTGTCTATCAAGGATTTGACTCCATCTTTAACATTTGAAAAGTAACCAACCTTCACTTTAATTTAATAAATTATATGTTTTTTTGACAATGTATTTTGTAGTTTAATAGGGTGCGGGAGTTGCGGGGTGGTTCTCTGTGGGTGTATCCAAAACAAGTTTTCGGTTTTTAATTATTTTTTATTTCTAAATGTGTATATATATTTCTGCATTTTATGTTTTTTTATGCATTTATTTTTCTCGCTGTCTGTTCAGCACTTTGGCAAGCCTAGGCTGTTTTAAATGTGCTCTACAATAAAGATTTGATTGTATCCAGGCAGATTGCACAAAAACTACTGGACGGACAAAGCTGGTTTGGATATTTTTATTTCATCTGAAGGCCGAAGTTACTGGATCGTGGCAGATGCTGATTGGAGTGTCCAATTGTCCTCCATGGTATAAAATCAACATGCACACAGCAACATTTTGATTGTGTCTTTGAGCCTGTACACAACCCTTTTTCTTCACTGAAATTTGGTGTCTATAGATGTGAGGATAGAAAGGCCTCACAAAATGTTGGGGACAATCCGTGGTGTTGGCAGGGTCTGCGTTCTCAGAGTGCATGTTCTACTATTCACCATTTATTTCTCAATGTTTTGCCATTTTGATTTTAAAAATAAAAATAAAAATCTGGGAACAGATTTTTATATAGGTTTTTGTATAATTTATGTTTAAAAGCACTTCGGTATTATGTGTATATATATTTTTGTACATTGTTACTCCATACATTATTCTTTTGAATTTGAGTATAGTCTTGCTCTTACAGTAAGTATGTCCCTTGGAGCTTGGGGTTTTTCTTCCCACCCTGACAGTCGTGGTGAGCAGAGAGGCATATGGAGTGGTCATGTTTTATGCGTGCCTTCATGAATGTGGACACAGTACAGCGGTGTTAGCTCTCGCGGCGCTGCTCCATGTATGCGTATAGAGCAAAATAAGAGTTTTTTTCTCCTCACTGTTTTGTCAGCACAGAATGAAGCGGCACGCGCGTATGTGTGCCTTGACTGTACTGGGAAAAAAATGTGTGGGTGTTTTTCTGCACAATCCTCCTCTACCTCTGTGCCACAAGTTAAAATGAAGTTTTGACAACAACATTGACGGGAAGAATGCTGTTTTAATTAAAATTCAGAGTGCAGATAAAGTTTGTGACATCCTTTACAGATGATTGAGAAGACCAATGAAGTAACACGATTTAAACTAAAGGGTGTGGTGGGAGTCGTAACACAAAATTAATCTAATAATTTATTGATCTAATTAAACAAACAGAGTGAATTTGCTGCAGGTTTATTGAACTAAAAGAAAAAGACAGCCCAAGTAACTATGCTCTTGTGAAATCTTCTCCGTATATATGGGTTATTACACAATCCTAATTAGCGAGCAAGGATTCCCCTAAGCCACACCAAGCGCACTATGATCTCTATTTGCCGCTTGAATCCATAGCAGCATATGTAAAAGTTACGGGTGAAATCCTCAAGTCAATGTTCTCTGTTTCTCGCGGATGAAAACAACAATTTGGCCACATTACATGATACAAAGGTTTAATGAGGATATATATATACGCACTCTAGCACTCTTCAAGCACAACACGTAATTATGTTCACTTACTGTTTTACAGGCCCCAGCTCTGGGGTAATGACACAACAATAGCTTCTCCCTAAAGATATTTCTACACGATACAATAGAGGCTGAAGACGTTGCTCAATATCTTGCTGAAAAAGGGGAAGGGATTGTTGCCTTGAGAGAATGAAGAAAGAGGTTGAAAGAAAGTTTTGTTTTATTACTGTGAGTCCTTCTAGAAATAGTAATTGTGACAGTGGAAGGGAAATGTTTATACATTTGTTTGCAGCTGGTCTGTTGATATTCTACCCTGCATACTGCCACCTGCCCCAAGCTTGTTAACAAGGCGCCTGTGGCCATGATTGCCTGGCCATCAAATTCCCAACCGATAAGTTCCTCCGGGAAAGAGAGAGGATGTGGCTTTGTCATTGACTTCACCTCAATCGTCCTCCCCCCTGTGCTGTATGTTTGAGATAACGCCAGACCCAAACATCCCATATTATCACCTTTGCCGCGTTTATAGACACGTCTTTTTCACTGAAGAAGTCGGGTATTTTCAGCGCTGCAGCTTCATATAGCTACTCCTAATACCTTGTCCAGAGCATTTTATCGCACAATGACTAGATTTATACGTTCAATTATAGTGCTGTAGGCTGTCATCGGTGCAGTAGTAGGAGAGACACCTGTCATTTCCAATGTTAGAGGAGGGAATGGATGATTGATTGAAGTCTAAGGGTGCATGCTGGGTTAGGGGCAAAGTGACAGGTCTGTGATTGACACAGATGGCAAAACCAAGGATAGTTCCAAGAAACAACAAGAACAAGATGGTAAAACAAAAGGGGGTTAGATAGGAAGAAATTTATGACGACAGTTAGGACCAAAGATGGAGACAGGTGGTGAGTGGGAGAGGTGGCAAAACCATGGAAGATCGCTTATCGTTTCTATGTCCAGGCGGAAGAGATAGAATGCTGCTTTGACTGTGAAGAAAAGAGAGGGAGGGGAAAAGGGTGATAAGTATTCCACGTGGAACAGCCCAACTTCAGTCATGCCCCAGTGAATGTGCTGACAAGGTCTGCCTGTGTCTCCCAGGAGCAAGTGTCATACAAGCGGTCCAACCACACCACACTGCTCTGCTTAACCCCAAAGGCACCAGTTCCACAAAATACATTCACTTTTAATACAGTCTGAAATTTTTCAGTGTCGTTTCTATGAAATGTAAAATTCATGCAAACTGCGGGCTTCCTTAATGTATTGCCCTTGTTCTGTGGTTTATTGTCATTCTTATAAAAGCAACCAAGCTTTGTTTTAGCACAAATCGAGGCAGCCACTTTCTTTTTTTAGTCTTTCATTCATCTGGAAGGACAGAACTGCCATACTATTGCAAAACACTAAATTACTATTTTGTTTTAAGTGTCAGCGTGACATATTTATTCTGCATGCTTATTTGGACATACATATTGTTCAGGCTTTAATACAGGTTATTTCATGATGATGGGCAGCCAGGTATAATCTTATATTTGTGCATTGAACCATCTAGAATTGCAACATCATTTCAGTCAAGTCATATAAATGGTGGATGGCTGCAGGGTCCCCACAGCAACTCATCTGTCTCATAGAGATATGAGAAAAGCTCTCAATCGCTCAAGGCACTGTGTTTAACAAAGTGGATTCCCATCTCTGGACTGACACTATGACTAACTGATCAAAGCCTGATATTAATCCAACTAATTAATCCTGCATCAATGTTATAAGAAGCTACATTTTAATTAAATAACTGGCAGCATAGTCAAAAATCCTCAACAGCCTTTTCTGTTAATAAATGCTGAGAGCGCTCTGCAATAATGTTATCTCCATCGCTTTTGTAGTTAATAACTACATCCCGTTGCAGTTTTCACTCTTGTCATTATATGGCTGAAAATGTGTTCTGATTTTCTATTTTTTCTATCCGATTGTTTATAAGTTTTAATATAATATAGTTACAAAGATCATTTGAATTAGACACAGATTTATTATGGCAGCAATAGTGCACTTGCATGGAAGAGGACTACTTTTAAGCACTTATTTCACAGCCAGGCTTTAAAAGCTATAATTTTCATGATCAAAAAAATAGTTGCTTTTTAACACTTCTATCTCGGCCTTTTTGTTCTCTATGGAGTTTAGGAACTTCAAGCCACAATAGAAAATCCTTCTCATGCAAGCTCTTTAATATTCACATTTTTATTTAAAAGGATTTTCATTTCAACATTTCTTTTGACAAGTCAAGTAGCCCAATTCACTCGTATCTTTGTCGGTGAAGTAGTTGAGCACATTGTCTCATCACAGAGAACACTTTGTGTTCATATAAGTTCATATAACTTCTTAAATGCATTGTGGTCTGAAAGTTAGGTACCCCTGCTTTTATGTGAATGCTTTTCTTTGTACAAAAGTGATACAAAGCCCCTTTTGGCTCTCTTGTCTGTAAGTTCTTGTACCTGCCACACTTTTAATTACCGCCTCACAATGATTAAAGTTTTAACTCAATTATCTCTATCTGTTCTCCCAGGGTCTGTCAGCCTCCGTGGGATGGATCGAGGGTGAAGTAGTGGCACGGAGAAGACGCTTGCCGAGATCCAGGGAGATATATAAGGGAGCAAGCAAAAAATACGACGTGACTGACACCTGCCCTCCAGCAAAGTGTGAAGGGCATAGAGAGAGCGAGGGAAAAGAGAACGAAAACAGAGAATAATGAAGACAACCGGAAAACAGGACCTGCTACACTGCAAATATCCCTCAAATTAAAACTCATCTTGTCCTTGGTCAACATGATTACAATAAGTCTGTTCTTATTGGTCTCGCTGTGCTTGTGGGAGGGCCTTTTGTGCGGCGCCATGTCTGCTAAGATTGCCCGGAGGAGAGGTGTCGGCGGATCTCATGTGGTTAAGCTAGGGGATAGCCGATCCGCAGACCAATGGGATTCGAGCGTGGAGGCGTCGCGTGTGGTGACGCTGAAAAGCCTGGTTAGCCGTGAGCAGAGCGAGGAAACGGTATCCTATGTCAAACTGTTGCAAAGTCATGCTGCGTCATCTGACAAGGACAAGCAACTTTTTAAGCCAAAGCGCGAGGTTGACTGGCACATGTTAGCGGCTAGCAAAGAAGTGTCCCAGGAGGTACACTGGTTGAGAAATAATACAAAGAGTTTAGACGCAAAATCATCAAGGCAAGAGAAAACATATACAATCCATCATAAGCAAGATGTCCACTCCAATAAAACAAGATTTAAAACAAGTGTAAGAACAAGAAGTAGGCCAGATCTGAGTGCAAGAACCACAGGTGTGCCAGGGAAGGCTTTCAGTACAGATTCTAATCGAAAGATTAATTTGACTGGGAGCTATGAGGTTTTGAAACTGCTGTCTAAAGAGAACTTAGTGCGGATTGTCAATTCCCAAATGCAGAGCGTTCCGAGCTTGAGTTTTCCTAGCAAGGGCAGTAGAAGCAGGAAACGAGATTTGATTGACGTTAATCACGAACTGTCAGAGGCCCAGAAGCCGCAAAGACAAGATATAGCTGTCACTCAAACTCATAGTGGACTTGATAATCAGACTGCATTTCCCTATGCGAGCCCGCAGCCCACTCCACTGGATCATAATCGGGGGCAAAGTGTAGAGACACATGTTAATCCATTTAGCAATCGGGGCAATTTGGACGACTCTGCTGGTAGTGACAGCAGGAGCAAACACCTCGTCAGTTCAGCTCAGATTGAGGTCAAGAGCCTCAAGAAAGGAGTAATGATCGACCAAACCGAGCCACCATTTACATCGACAAAGCATCTCCCGCAGTTTGTCCCCTCTGAAACAAACGCTCCGTCTGTGCTGACAATGCAACCCCAGGGACCGCGGCCAGGGAACAGAGCAGCCGATTCCCACCGAGACCCATTAGCAGAGTCACTTCACTTCGCAGAACTCAACACGGCTCAATATCCCGAAGATGAAGACGGCAAGCTTGTCAACAGCAGTGGCAGCAGTCATGTCTTGAGGCTGCATCCCTCTACCCCCAACAACCGCAATAGCAAAGAGGCCAAAACGGCAGAGAGTCAGATTCAGGAAAATGGTGCTGGCTTGGTGTTCGAAGAGCTGGAGGAAGAAGAGGGGATTCTAGCTGGTGCCTCAGAGGGGAAGGCTGCCCGGTCCCGGAGCAGGAGGAGCTGGATCTGGAATCAGTTCTTTGTGATCGAGGAGTACGCCGGGCCTGAACCTGTTCTCATCGGACGGGTAAGGAAGAGCTCACTTCATTTATGATTTACCAAGGTTGTGAATGGAGTATGAATGTTTAATGAATATTTAAGGAGGTGTGACTTACATGGCCTGTTCAGGTTCTAAGGTCATTCCCGTTTGTCTTCCTGAGCAAGAATCAAGATTTTTTTTCAATCTTTTAAAATTGTTTTTACAAGACTGGAAACAAGAGGGGAGCAGAGATTGAAATGTACAAGGATTACATATTTTTCTTTGCATATAGATACACCAATTGGTCTTTCTTACAGCTCTATTATTTATGAGCCTTTTCAAATAAACAAGAGTGTAGAGGAATGACAGAAAACCCTGGGGGGCATCCAAACTACAGACTCATCCACAATGCCAACTTGATATCTATGTGTTTATGCTCCAACAACCAAGCAATACTTTATTCTCTTTTATTTGTGATAGAATTGCAATCACTATTGATTTATCCCTTTATGAGCACTGCTGTGCCTTCCAGGTAGCCGTAAAACCTTCAATTAATCAATGGTGTGCCGAGGCACAACACAGCCTCTATCCCAAACGCCCGAGGGTCCCATCATGATCACTCCCAATCTGTGCCCACTGATGGGAATTGACACATGGAGAAGAATTAATGCCTCTACTTTTTCCTCTTATATTGATGTTTACCTGAAGGCAGAAAGCAAAAGTCGAGTCTGTCCTCATTTTCCTGTAGGTCACACCTGTCAACTTGGCATGGTCAGAGAACCGCAAGGTCCCTGATAATACCATTTCAATCTAGCTGATTTACACTCTGTTTGACAGGATTTATATCACTGCTTGTCCATGTGCACTACACAGGGAAGCTTGTATTGGTCTGATGGGAAATTTACTAGAATCATTGAGCAGACATAGCCCTCTCTTGTATAGGCAGATGAGATAGAACGAGGTCATGTTGGCCGGTCAGGTCTGCCTCTTTGTCCAGTCATCCACCAAATGATCTCGGTCTCAATTGCAGGAAGAGCCAACCATGTCTCTAAGCGCAGATGCCATAGATGAGTTTATATATACCCCTGTGTGACCAGTTTGCAGAGTAAATGAATAGTAATGATACCCATGTGAATGCTGCAGGCTGTTGGAAGCCACATTGATAGTGTGTGCGTATTTGGCTCATATCTACAGTTTAGAGTGGCATCTTGGCTGAGAAAACCACAGAGAAATTACTTATGCACTTTGTTTACATATATTATGTACTGTGAATTGTATAGTCAAAGGAAAACGTTTTTACCTTCATGTCAATCATTAGTACAGCTAAAAGCAATGGTAATTGCTTGGTATAATGTACATTTTAGGGCTGTCAAACCATTAAAATGTTTAATGAAGTTAATTACAACTTACAGTTAAATAATCGTAATTAATCGCATTTTGAAACCGTCGGAAAAATTATGCCATATTTTTCAGTAAATGGTTGTTTGAATTGAAATTAAAATGACAACATAGTGTGCATACAGTATGTACTGAATTTGTTTATTCTTATTATTTTTAAACCTAAATTCCCAGAGGGCCTACCAGCTCTGTCGCCATCTTACAAGACAATAAATCCACATAAAAGGGCATTGACATTATTTACATTCTTTCTTTCTGTAGTAGACACAGGCTACAACTATTGTTTGTTACAGAGATGAGATTTGTACATTTCAAAACAGTCTGAAAGGCAAAATGTGCAAATTAGGTACCTCAGCTTTAATTTAGCAAGTTTAGTTGCGCTTCGGTATGAGACACGGACCCTTGCTGAGGCTCCATAGTTCAACCCTAACCCAAGTCCCCCGTGGTCACGTTCATATTCTTTTTAAACCTGAATTCCCAGAGGGCCTACCTGCTCTGTCGCCATCTTACACACGCATGTCTGCGGCATCCTGAGTGTTTCTAATGGGATGCGTCAAATGCGTTGATTTTTTCAACGCAATTAATGAAAAAAATAATCAACGTGCGTTAACGCAATAATTTTGACAGCCCTAGAAAATGTGTATTATGTTTAGACATGTATAGAAATGTATGGAAACATATGCATAGTAAGTACAGTAGTATAAACCACTGTTCTATACCAACAAGTTATTGTAATTTTTTTTGTTTTGTGTTTTGCACCTATTGCACTTTAATCAGATGGGGTTTTATGATTTACCATGGAGTTTTCTGTTTGCACCTTAAGTTTCCGGCCACTGAAAGGTACAGAAGCAGAGCGTGCAGATGGCACCACGTGTAAAGCCATTATTGCCAATCTGCTGTGTCAAGCAGGTATTTATGCCAGCACATTGTATGGCACTGAAGGAGGGAGCAGAGCCAGGCAGGACACACACAAGCCCTTATCATAGTGCCGACTGTTGGACTATGTCCAGTTTGTTTTTGTGGCTGTGGGTGGAGAGAGGCCTGTGATTAGTCCCCTACTGTATTAAACAGTGACAGCACACATCAATAATGCTCTTATACATCTTAATACGCTTATGAATGTTTAATCTCCTGTTCAGTTTTACGGACTATAGGAACAAATAAAATGTTTCTATCGGCAATGCTGTGTTTTTGGGATCAGGACCTCATTGTTCTTTCAAAAGATTGTTATACCTTTGCAAGTTTGTCCATTGAATAAAATTGAATAGGCATGTCTTAACAACAACAAAATAAAAACTCAAACTCTTACAATGTCATGAACTAAATTTGGTGCTAATTTATTTTTTCATTTGGTATACAAAATGTTTCGTGTGAGAATGTTTTTCGTAGAACTTGCATAACTAACTGTCCAAAATCCACATCCTCTGAATCATCACTTGTGCCTGTGACTCACTTTCTCCTCTCAGACGCCAGTAACATGCTCGCATTCAAGTTTGCGCATGCTAATCTTAAGGTGTGATTTTTGTGTTTTACAAAAGGCCTTTTTCAAAAATCCTTGCTTTTCTCTGATTCACGCTGTGTTGTGTGATCTCGTTTTGGGTTTGGGATAAATCTGCGTCAAAAGCTCCAAACATGAGCCAAAACTGTAATCTGTGATGTCAATGGGAGACAAAGGCTCTTCAGCACTGCCAGCTCTTTGGATACTGGAGCACAGAGAGAATATTTTCAGTCTTTAATCTCAAATTATTTTTGATTTCTTTATCCATTAATTGTAAGAAAAATTAATTAATCCCTTAGGTTAAGAATGACTGGTAATTCCGATTCTAGCCATTTAAACTGGCACTCTTGAATAACACCCTCAAAATTGTCTCAATAAATGTGGCCAGGTTTACATGCATTTTGGTAAAAAAAACATTCTACCTACCATGTACAGTGAGTGAGTCAGTGTAATTGCAGATCTTTCTGCCGGTCTATACACTGTATTACGCAATTTTGTATGCATGGGAAGCACGGTCAGCTCAGCCTGACGCTCTATTTACTGCCTTTCAACATTTTGCTTGTAAATACTGTACCTTTGACTGTTATGGGGCAAAAATTGTACTGTGCTGCAAAACCAGGCTCCATACCTAGTTTTGGCAGCTGTAACAACACCTACGTAAATATTAAAAAGTTGATTCCATTTGTACATGCTGTTGCAGTACATACATTCGCCTCATCAATATACAGTATAATATGCAGACTTCAAAACACTTGACAAAAGAAGCGTCTTATAGGCAGAGAGGCAAAATATGCAGGTGAAAGGAAGGCTTCGCCATGAGGACCATCTCTGAGCCCTCATGAGCGGCTTCACGGAGGATCTGGAGAAGAAGACAAAAGATGCAGCACCAACAGATTATGGACTCATTATGTGGCAAAGGTACACAGATGATTTACTGGAAATAGCAAAAAAAGAACAAATACAAGGACTGATCTATCATCTGTACACAAAAGAAGGCACAGAAAACATCTAATTCACACACGAAGAAGAAAGCACCAATACAATCACTTTTCTGTCCGTAGTACGAACACTATTTTAACAGAACAAAGTCAAAGAAGACACATTCACATCTATTCAATTCATATCAATAATTTGACAAGCCCCTAATCCATAGTTATAGTTTTTCTTGGCAGACTTTGCAAAGTTGTTGATTCGCCAACACAGATCAGAGAAAACACAAACACAGCATATGCCACGATAAAAAACACATTGAGCCATTAGTCCATAAGGGGCTGATTACCAATGTCCATAAATGATCAATAGATTAGATCATCTTCTCTCCTTAGACCCTCCTGCATTGCCAAGTAACTACTAGAAAACAGTGCCTCAGGGTGCAGAACAAGGACCGAGTGTTGCAGAATGAGGTGGCTCCCAGGCAGAGAGGAGGTGCCATTATGAAGTATCACAACTCGTCAATAAAAAGCCAAACAGGACAGTATTTCACTACGACTGTATATCAGATATTATAAACAAACCAGTGGTATATAGAAAACTCTGACAACATCCATCCAAAAACATAATTTAGAACCAAAGAAAAATTGTAATGTCATCTTCAAAGTACCAGGCATGTCATGCAATAAAACATACATCGGGGAAAGAGACAGGCATACAAAACAAACACAAACCAGATCAAGAGCAATTGACCATCTCCGACCGTTGTGAAAGAGAACCACTATTTGTTTGGGATACAGTTAATGTCATAAGGGCTGAGGGTAGATCAAAGAGGCAATAGAAATACAGAAATGTGCTCCTGGGACAATAAACCAAGACAAGGGGGCTTTTTTACTCTCACACACCTGGTATTCGGTCCTGAAGAAGGACTGTGGATGGTGCTTTTTCCCCATTCACGTGTAGTATGATGGTGGAATAGTTGTCAATCCTTTTCAGAGTAACCTGAAGATTTGTTTATAACTGGGGTGAATAAATAAAGCAATGCAAAGGGGTATATACTGCGGTAATGGAGCCTCTTTCAAATCTATTCAAGAAAGGATCATTTTGATTGTATTTCTATCAGTACTGTAACTGTGAGAATGGCCCACGGAGCAGGAGAGGAATTTTTTCATTCTTTCCTCCTTGATGTCTGTATTTGCTGCGACTTTTTGTGAGTGTGTGA